ACCAGTTAAAATGTTCTTTTAGTTAAGAAAATTAATCTATATTGATTCAAACAATAATTCTCTGTCAGTCTCAGGCAAAAAAGATATTGATGTTTTAACAATTGATTACTCTATTTGCAGTTTATACACTGGATGATTGATTCATTTTCTATGGCTTATCAACCCTTTGCAAGTTATTTAAAACCAGAAAATATTTTTAGATTGTAAGAATTTCTTTTTGGGAGACAATAATGTAGTGATACAAGTCTTACTAATTAACCCATAGCTGGAGGGAGAAGAGGTGGATTCATACCTTTCTCAAGGATATTTATATGTAAGTGAATATAACAAACCCAACTGAAATTGGAACTCAGCTCTCCGATTAATAAATTTGAGCCATTATCCACTACATCACCTACATATCCAAGCTTACAAAACCTGGTATTTCCATGCAGTCCCATATTTGTGTACTGACCTCACTAATGGAACTCTCTTTTCCTTGCTTTCCAGTCAAATTTGATCTTCAAAAATATAAATGCAATGTCAACTGTTTTCAGTTTTCTTAATTCTCAATGTATTTCTTATATTCTTTCACACTCAGTAATCCCCTGCTTGTTAGTTACTTTGTTGCCTTGTCTGGGGTAAAGATTTTGAAAAAAATACACTTTTGACTCCCTTGGGAATGTTTATTGTTCTAAAAAACGAGCATTAGAATTTTAATAAAACCCAAACATATGAAAGTTGATTTATACATTTTCTTTAGTCTTGAGAATTAACAATAAAGATATTAAACACTATTTATTTATTAGATTGAATAAAAACTTGTTTTCATAGTTATTTATAAAATGGTAAATAATAAATATTGCATTGTAGTTGGTTTATGTATTTTGATAATTTTGTAATATTTTATAAATTTTTGAATGAAATGGTTTCTTTTCAAATTTGTTTCTTTATAAAATGGTAAATAATAAATCTTTATAAAAGGTAAATAATTGTACTTGGTCCATATATTTTTAGATATTTTTTACATATTTGTACAGCAGGTTTAATTCTTTGTAACCTTTCAGGGTTAAAAGTGTATTAACCCCTTTCAAGGTTAAAAGTGTATACAAAAAAATTAAACCTGCTTAAAAAAAAGCAGCAAAACAAAAACAAGTTTTGAATGTTTTGGGGGGTTTATTTTCAGATTTCTGAACTTAAACATCAAATTGAAGACTTACAGTCCAGAAATGAAAATTCACCAAAGGAGGCTGCAGCGAGTGAAAAGAGCAATTCAAACCCGACTCTCCGACGACTTGTACAAGAAAGAAAAGAGGCACATGATGTTGGTATTCAGTTAATATATAAGCTTAATTTTTTTCTACATGTTTTGTAGAGGTAACTATTCCATCATATAAGTGTTTATATTTAGCTATGCTGAAAAATATATTTCACTTTATTAGCATTTTGTGAATTTTTGGAATTCTCATTGCCACATATCTTCTTATATGTGACATGACCTTTCAGTGTGTGGACGATCATGATTCTCCACAACTTCCAGTTTTTGTTGCTTTCAGTAACTGTTGACTTTTTACCATCACTCTTTATCCTTGTTCTTTTATTCAGTCACACCATCTTATTAAATAGGTCAGTTACAGCTTCCTCCTGCTGTTCATCTTGTTTTTAATATGTCCTATGAATGTTAAATTTTCCAGGCCTTCTTTCCTCATTAGGGGACCCAGAAAGTTAAACTGCCTCTTTCTGATTCTGTAGTTTCTATTTTCCTTAAAACTGCCTCATAGAAGGGAAAATTAACAGACAGAGAAGTAGAGGAGAAAAGTAACAGGTGGAGAACTAGAAAAGGGAAAGTAACAGATAGAGATGTAAAAGCGAAACGTAACAGGTGGAGAACTAGAAAAGGGAAAGTAACAGATAGAGATGTAAAAGGGAAAAGTAACAGGTGGAGAACTAGAAAAGGGAAAGTAACAGATAGAGATGTAAAAGCGAAAAGTAACAGGTGGAGAACTAGAAAAGGAAAAGTAACAGATAGAGATGTAAAAGGGAAAAGTAACAGGTGGAGAACTAGAAAAGGGAAAGTAACAGATAGAGATGTAAAAGCGAAAAGTAACAGGTGGAGAACTAGAAAAAGGAAAGTAACAGATAGAGATGTAAAAGGGAAAAGTAACAGGTGGAGAACTAGAAAAGGGAAAGTAACAGATAGAGATGTAAAAGGGAAAAGTAACAGGTGGAGAACTAGAAAAGGGAAAGTAACAGATAGAGATGTAAAAGGGAAAAGTAACAGGTGGAGAACTAGAAAAGGGAAAAGTAACAGATAGAGATGTAACAGATAGAGATGTAAAAGCGAAAAGTAACAGGTGGAGAACTAGAAAAGGAAAAGTAACAGATAGAGATGTGAAAAGTAACAGGTGGAGAACTAGAAAAGGGAAAGTAACAGATAGAGATGTAAAAAGCGAAAAGTAACAGGTGGAGAACTAGAAAAGGGAAAGTAACAGATAGAGATGTAAAAGGGAAAAGTAACAGGTGGAGAAAGAAAAGGAAAAGTAACAGATAGAGATGAAAAAAAGCGAAAAGTAACAGGTGGAGAACTAGAAAAGGGAAAGTAACAGATAGAGATGTAAAAGAACTAGAAAAAAGTAACAGGTGGAGAACTAGAAAAAGGAAAAGTAACAGATAGAGATGTAAAAGCGAAAAGTAACAGGTGGAGAACTAGAAAAGGAAAGTAACAGATAGAGATGTAAAAGGAAAAGTAACAGGTGGAGAACTAGAAAAGAAAGTAACAGATAGAGATGTAAAAGAAAAGTAACAGGTGGAGAACTAGAAAAGTAACAGATAAGATGTAAAAGCGAAACGTAACAGGTGGAGAAAGAAAAGGAAAGTAACAGATAGAGATGTAAAAGCGAAAAGTAACAGGTGGAGAACTAGAAAAGGAAAAGTAACAGATAGAGATGTAAAAGGAAAAGTAACAGGTGGAGAACTAGAAAAGGGAAAGTAACAGATAGAGATGTAAAACGAAAGTAACAGGTGGAGAACTAGAAAATGTAAAGGTGGAGAACTAGAAAAGGAAAAACAGGTGGAGAACTAGAAAAGGAAAAAAAGTAACAGATAGAGATGTAAAAGCGAAAACGTAACAGGTGGAGAACTAGGAAAAGTAACAGGTGGAGGAAAGTAACAGATAGAGATGTAAAAGGAAAAGTAACAGGTGGAGAACTAGAAAAGGGAAAGTAACAGATAGAGATGTAAAGGGGAAAAGTAACAGGTGGAGAACTAGAAAAGGGAAAGTAACAGATAGAGATGTAAAAGGTAAAAAAGTAAAAGGATAGAGAGTAAAACGAAAAGTAACAGGTGGAGAACTAGAAAAGGGAAAGTAACAGATAGAGATGTAAAAAAGGAAAAGTAACAGGTGGAGAACTAGAAAAGAAAAAGTAACAGATAGAGATGTAAAAAGGGAAAAGTAACAGGTGGAGAACTAGAAAAGGGAAAGTAACAGATAGAGATGTAAAAAGATAACAGGTGGAGAATGATAGAGATCTAAAAAAACGTAAAAAGAACTAGGAAAGGAAAGTAACAGATAGAGAGAACTAGAAAAGGGAAAGTAACAGATAGAGATGTAAAAGCGAAAAGTAACAGGTGGAGAACTAGAAAACAGAAAGTGACAGAGTGATTTACAAGAGAAAAGTAATTGGTGGAGAACTAGAAGTGAAAAGTAAAAAATAGAGAAATAGAAATGAAAAGCAACAGGTGAAAATCTAGAAGGAAAAAGTAACTAACTGATATAGAAGTGAAAAGTAACAGATAGAGATGTAGAAAAGAAAAATAACAGGTGGAAAACTAGAAGAAAAATGTAAAAGATAGAGAAATAGAAAAGAAAAGTAACATTCTTATTGCATGTTTGAAGATCTAAAAAAAAAATCTCTGAATATTAATTCATTTTAGGAATATCTGGCAAAAGATATTCAACTTGTGATACTGAAATGATATAAACATATTTCTGTAATAACTTAATTAAGAATTGCTTGTAACAAAGAAGTATATCTGATCAAGGATAATACTTATCTTAATTCCATCAAACAAACCCGAGAGGCATATTTTGCATAATTATACATTAGAGTTTACATTAAACATTTCTTCGGTTTGTATCTTGATCTTCATACAATGTTTTAACAGTTTCTCATGTTTTGTCTTGTATAATTTGCTGCTGAGAAAAACAATATCTGGTGTTTATCATTATGGATTTTCTCTGCAGACATTATACGTATTTTAAAAGTCTTCTCAAATTATATTAACATCAATTGCTATTGATTGTATACATATCAAACACATTTCTTGATTGACTGTGGCCTAGGCAGTTTAATGACTAAATGCATACAGAAGTATATTTATAAGAGTAGACAGTCTATTGATACAGGTAAATATATGTATGTGTGTAATAATGGCATCCCAAATTTCCAGGAACTGGTTCTATAAAGACAGGTAATTTTTAGGAACCTATTCTGCTTATTTTCTTTTCAATCTGAGAATGGAAACAAATCACTTTATTTAATAGAAAACATTTATTTATTAAGATATTTCCAGATTGAAATTCTGTTCTCTTCATATTTCTGTTCAGAAGTCTGATGCTTTTTGACTCTAGTGTCATCAGCTGCATTATGGCCACTTAGCTACATTCAGATTGAATTGCTGTAGTCTTAAAGATCCAATGGAAGACCTATCAAATTTATGACTAGAAGATTTGCCACATTTTTAACTTCAAGACAATTTCTTTTGTCAAAATAAACTATGTTCATCATAGAAAACCTTCTTTCAGCCTCTGCAGAACTTACAGCAATAATATTAGTTATATTTTTAGCTATTGTATATCATTTATTAATATATAAGATTATTTTCAGCTAATACAACAACTGGTTCACTAAGCTTTTATAATTTTAAGAATTGTTTTGCACAAACTGGCAGGATGTCACCACTTAGCATGTGTGTATGAATGCTACTTTTGACAGGCACACAATATTTTTCTACATGTTTTGTAGAGGTGACTATTCCATCAAATAAGTGTCTGTATTTAACTATGCTGAAAGATATATTCATTTTATTAGCATTTTGTGAGTTTTTGGAATTCTCATTGCCACATATCTTCTTATATGTACGGGAACTTCAATGTAGTGTAATGATTAGCGAGCTTATCTTTCTAGATCAGTTATCTTTCTAGTCCAGGACTCACTGGGTGCTCCACACGTTTTGCCTTGTACTACATCTAAGCTAATGCTTATAAAATCATTGGGTACTTCAATGTGGTGTAACAGTTAACAAGCTTGTCTTACTATATCAAGTACAACTGAATAGTGTGTTCGATCCTCACTGGGTGCCTTATACTTTTGGCTTTGTGCCACATCTAAGCCATGTTTAGAAAATCACCATATCTTCTTATATGTCCTTTCAGTATGTGGGTGATCATGACTCTCCACAACTTTCCAGTTTTTTGTTGCTTTCAGTAACTATTGACTCTTTACCAGCCATCTTTATCCTTGTTCTTTTAGCCATTCACACAAAGTTGTTAGGTCAGTTACTGTTTTCTCCTGCCATAATCACAAATATAAAAATAGATTCAGTCCAATTTATATAGTGTTTCCCTTCTGTTTTTGCAAGCCAGTGTGAACCAGGCAAAACCTTGCCTGCAGCATATATTAAACCTTTTTTCCAGACATGCATGTGTGGAAATCCCTATAAGTAGCAGTAACCCCTTTTCATCTTTTGGGTATGTGCAAAAAGAAAAAAAAACAGTGAGTGTGTTGTAAATCAGAAGAAGCTAGTTCTCTTTCACTATGTGCCAGACAAAGTAAAAAGAAGGCAATGCAAGGGCCAGCAACTGAAGTCTTCCCTCCTTCAAGCCAAAGTCAGCCCTAACACTTGGGAAACAGAAGCTGTTGATTCTCTATTCTGATGAAGAGCAATTCATTTTGTCTGTTCCACTTTCAAGGAGAAGAGAAAGACTGAAGACAAAGTAAAAAGAAGGCAATGCAATGCTCAGCAACTCCAGCCCAGACCATCACCTGACCTTCCATGCAATTGATGTCTGAGACTGTTCTTTTGCAATGAGAATGCTTGTAGGTTTAGGTAGAAAATATATATCTGGTATTTTTTTATCCTGTAACAATTATTGCAGACTCGATATGAGTCCAAGTAAAAAATGAAAAAACACAAAACAATATAAAACAAATGACAACTAATTTCATGTATTGACAAAAGGAATTACAATTAGAATAAAAGAAGAAAACATTTAAAGACTAATTGCATAGAAAACATTTAAACTAGAGAATGTGCGTTTTTGGTTATGTGTTAAAAGAAAAAAAACTGAGTATGCTGTAAATCAGAAGAGGCTAGTTTTCTTTCACTATGGGCTGAGATCAGGATAGGACATAAAATTAGTGCTATGTGCATTAGATGCATAATAGCTGAGACTAGACACATCAATTTTCTAATTCCTCAGCAGAGCAAGTTTAATTTTTCCTTCATTATTTACAGAGACTCTTAAGATCATTCCTTGAAATTTTCTCTACATGATAAATAAATATTTCTACCTCATTTTTTTTCACTCTTTTGTTTGTCTATTTTCTCAACCAACTTTTATTTTTTGTTCGACACAACTCCTGATCCAGAAACAACAGAGGCCTTGTGTCTCTTATGCTACAGCAAACTTTGATTCACAATTGTGTCTCTATTGATTTAGACATAGGTCTATGTATTTGTTATTGTTTATATATAGAATTGAAATCTGGTTGAAAAGGAAATTCTTTCGTTTCTGAATGATAAATTTCTATTCTGCAGGAACTTTTATAGAGTAAAAGAGTTTAATCCTTAAAGAGTGCTCATTTATTGTTTCCTTGTGCCAGAGAAAAGGAAACTTATTAAATATTTGTATTAAAATTCTGTTTGCTGTTTTTATTGGCAGAAAGTAATCATTCAACTGAAAGAAGTTCAAGAACAACATGCTTCCCTCAAAAGCAAATTTGAGAGTGGGAAAGCCAGGTATATTTATCTATCTATCTATTTGAATAATTACATTTATTTAAATAAATTTTATTTATATTATTTATTAATTCATTTACCTAGAATTTTAATTAGAAATTTAATGATGTGTTTCCAAATTTCTTTTAGGACATTTTCTTTAACAAACATTTAAGATATTGACTTTTGCCTTTGATGTGAGAGTTTCAATGTGAGTATTATGTTTGAAGTTCTAAGATGAAAATATTATTCTTTTCTACCGAGGCTCAAAGTTTAGTATCTGCTCAATCCTTGCTTCTTATCAGATGAAATTACAGTATGATACCAGAATAGTTTGATTTACTGATTTGTTTTTACGGCTTAACAACCCTTTGTGGGTTAGTTAATGCTGAAACATATTTTGAATTGTAAGAATGTTTCTTTTTTGTTTTCGCCTTCTTCTATTTTTACCCCTCTTGTTATTATTTATTGAGAAATTTCTCAATTCCACTTGTTTAGAACTTTGTCAATTACATTTAACCATTGCCAATTATTCCACAGTATTCAAAAACATTACAAAATCAGTTACATTTTCCGACTGAGAAACCTACTTAATATTATGATGTAATGGAATAACCTGTTACCCCCATCAGTGACTACACTATAGGTAGTAACTATCTGTAAGTATCTGTAAGTCAACGAACTACAGAGACTAGCTGGTATCTGTTACAGCTAGACGGTTGAACTCTCTGCCTCTGAGCAAAGAGGAACCCAGATGAGGCTCTGTCGAAGGGCAGAATCTCGTTTGGGGAGGTTGACCAACCCGACCCTGTTTATGCAGGTTCTATGGGGATTTTTTGGCTGAGCCTATGGGCTTGGAAGACCCACATAAAACTCAGCCTTGTGCCACATCTACCCTCGTCGGGGGGGATGGGGCTAGTAAATACCGACTAGCTGGGATCTGTTCCAGCTAGATGGTTGAACTCTCTGACTTCGGGCAAAGAGGAACCTGGATGAGGCTATATGCCGAAGGGCAGAGTCTTGTTCGGGGAGGTAGACCAACCCGATCCTGTTTATGTGGGTTTTACAGGGATTTTTTTGCCAAACCTACAGGCTCAGATGACCCACGTTAAACTCGGCCTTGTGCCACATCTACCGTTATGGGGAGGGCTAGTAAATATTGATTAGCTGGGATCTGTTGAGTATGACTCAGACCTATGCGAGAACTACTGACCTTCAAATAGTAGCAGTCACTATTGGATTGACTTGCGATGACCTTGTGCATAACTGTTACCTTTATTCTTATTGTACTGGTTTTTTACAATAAACCTTTACTTATTTTATCCACCTTGTTTTTCAATTATATATTCCTATTAGCACAGAATATAACACATTATTAAGTGAGAAAGAATTGGAAAGAGTGAGTGAAAGGGGAAAAGGAAGAGAGAGTGTAAAAGGAGAAAGGTAAAAAGTAAAGATGCTGGAGAAAAATAAAAATGAAATCAGGTGAAAGTAAAAATAAATATATGTTGAGATGATGTGAGTTTCCCGCGTGTCGGTGTGTGAATCAAGACAAACACAGTTGTAGAGGAAAATACTGGTATATTCATAAAAGCAATTAACAATAGAGTGATTAGTAGAACGAAGGTTGGTTAGTACGAAACAATATCCAAAGTCTATAGTCCAACGGTATGTACCGGGTAAGCTTCACTGGACTGCTGTCGCTGACGCTCTGTCACTCGCTCTCCCGTCCTCTCTCTAGAGCTGACTTATATAAGAGGGACCAGTCCATTACTAGTTAGAAGGTGGGTGCGCCCCAACAATATACATAACATATATAAAGATACAGAAGGATTGGATACAAAAGAAAGATATAGGCTTGCTGGTTGGATATCAAGAGACAATGGCTAAAAGAGTGAAAAGCAACTGGAAATGCATCAAAGTTGTGATACATTAAAATTCTTTAAGAAGAAATAGAGAAAAATGATATAGGAAATTTTTGTGCATTTCTTATTCCTTTTTTGCATGTGGAATTAATCCATGCTTGTATAACATTGAGATAAATACCTGAATGAACAATGAAGATTGAAAGGGATAAGGTAAAGAATGAGAAGATACAGGTAAATCATGAGAGAAGAGCAAAGGTATAAGATCTTTTTTGTTAGAATGTTTGAATTTAAATATAATATTATCTTGTTCTGTTTTTAAATTTTAGAAATCAAGTGCTGTCAAATGAAGTAAAAATTCTGAAGCAACAAATCCAAACTTTATTAGACAAAGGCCAACATGATGATGAAATGATATCTACTTTAATGGTTTGTAATAATTTTTTAATTTTATCTTGAGTATTTTTTTTACCCATGATGCTCTCTTTTTTATTTTAATTTCTATTTCTTCTATTTTTTGTCTTCTCCTAACTTTTATATATTTTTTTCTCTTTAAGATATTATTTAACTAAACCCTACCTAAGATATCACACGTTATATTTTGAGATTTTGATGAAATAATATCTACTTTAATGATTTGTAATCATTTTTTATTTTTTGATGAGTTAATTTAAAATTTTTTTTTTACCCATGATGCTCTCTTTTTTTATTCTTCTGTTTATTTCTTCTATTTTCTGTCTTCTCCCTACTTTTATATTTTTTTCTCTATATTTCTTATTTGTTTAATTAAATCCTACCTAGGATATCACACGTTACATTTTGAGTTATCAATATTTTATATATGCCACCTCTTTTGATTTTATGATATTCAGAGAGAAAAGCAAGAAATGTTCAAACATGTTTTCAGGAGAACCTAACTTGTTTTGATGAGACTAAAATAAAATAAGTATTGATCTTTTTTAGATGCAACTTTCTCACATGAAGGACTTAATGCAAGAAAATAACCAGTTAAAGCAGCAACACCAAGAGATGAAGCTCCCAAAAATGTCAGCAACAAAACTGAATGATGACTACATTGTAGAACAATTGAACCGGATCATAGCAGAAAGGGATGAAAAGATCAGAAGTCTTACTGAAAGTCTTAAGCACTTGTCTGGTGAAATGGTAAGTAGAATTAGCAGCATAAAAGAAAGTGAGTGGGTGATGATTCCTCACTATAACATTGTAACACTAGTTAAATGTTGTGCATGTTACATCACCGTATGAAGGATTGAAACACCATTAACATTTTACCATATTGTTGGATTATCAAATGGCAGAACTGACACACCATCAATGAAGTCCTCCATTGCCCAGAAATGCTGAGCATTGAGATTGCCATCTTCAAGCATCCCCTCAGGTGGTAAAGACATGTCACCAGAATGGCTCCTTCAAGACTCCCACAGACCATCATTTACAGTGAACTTGTCAACAACAAACAATATTGCAGAGCCCAAAAACACAGATTCAAAGACCAACTGAAGTCTTCCCTCCTTCAAACCAGAATCAGTCCTGATCAATTCTGTTGGGAAACAGAAGCCATTGATTCTCTATTCTGATGAAGAGCAATTCATTTTGTCTGTTCCACTTTCAAGAAGAGAAAGAGTGAAGACAAAGTTAAAAGATGGCAATGCAAGGCTCAGCAACCCCAGCCAAGACCATCACCCAACCTACCATGCGATTGATGCCTGAGACTGTTCTTTTGTAATGAGAATGCTTGTAGGTTTAGGTAGAAAATATATATCTCCTGGTATTACTTTTATCTTGAAACAATTATTGCAGACTCGATATGAGTTCAAGTAAAAAAATGAAAAAAACACAAAACAATATAAAACAAATGACAACTAATTTCATGTATTGACAAAAGGAATTACAATTAGAATAAAAGAAAACATTTAAAGACTAATTGCATAGAAAACATTTAAACAAGAGAATATGCATTTTTCTGTGTGTGAAATTTGTGTAGGCCTATGTGATAGACATGTGTATGAAAGAGTTCAAATGTCAGAAGAGAGGAAATCATGATAATGAACATGCCCAAGTGGGGGCACTTTACCCATGTACATCTACATCTTATGGCCAGAGTTGAGAAGGTGTAAAAGACAAAAGACTATGGAGAGAAATGCACATTTTTTATGGGCTTAAAGAGTGCCCCCAGAGATGTTTTTTTTTTTTTTTAGTAAAGTCAAGTGGGATAACCCACACCTTTCCTGACTTGGTCTCCTGAAGCATGTTGGCTTCAAGCATTGTGTAAGCAATGGATAAACCAAACTCAGACATTAGTGGTGCTGTTGCTGCCACCAATATTGTTGGGTGGTCAGCACATCAGGTATTGGTGTCCCTATCATAAAGAAAACACTAAATGTTGTCAGCAAGGACTATTCAAGAGGTCAGATCTAGTAGCTATGTCTTTTTGTTAAGGTTTACTAGCATAGATTCACCAAGTACACTCAAATCCTCTCATCCTAAATGGAGCTTTTTTTTTATTAAACTGGAACTGCTCATTTTAATTAGTAGTTAGGTCAGCTTATTCTAAGAGCATTACATATACTTTTGTTAACTTGGCACAGCTGGAGTAATGTGAAATTAATATTAGCTCAATTTCCAGGAGGCCATCCTTCCAGGCAGTACCTCTTCTTTGGGAGAAGGCTTAGGTTATTACCTGGTGTTTGAGGTGTTCCAAAAAGGGGAAGTGGTAAAGGGGCTTCAGTAATCTTTGAAAGGTTTTCCACAGTAAACCTTGACTTTGTGTCACATTCTGTTGTGATGTGGGTGGGCAGATAAATACCTATTTTTGTTAACTTCAGTTACTGAGTTCAATCCTGGTAACATTATTCATTATTGAATATTTTCTTCTTAGGTGCCATGTCCTTTCAGGATGTAAGCGATCATGTCTCTCCACATCTTCTTTTTCTTTAATATCTGTGAAATAATATCTTGGGAAGAACAGTTGAGAAGTTTCTCATTACCTTTTCTATGGTTTTAGATTCAGATTAACTGGTTGCCATTCAAATCTAGATAGCCCACCTGACCGACTGTAATCCATAGCTGGGGAGAGAAGAGACAGGTTCTTTGCTTTTCTGAGGACACTAGTATAAAGTAAACACAACAGATTAGGCTAGAATTGGAACCAGGCTCACCAATTTCATACTGTGTGAATATCCTGTCATATTTTAATTTTTTTACAATGGATCTGTATTGATGTCCTCATATGAGTAGTTCAAATACTGTTGCTTACTTTGAATTCTGCAGTAGTTTTAATATCGCCATATAAAGTGTGTTATAGATTTAGATAAAATATTGATGAATTGATTTGTTTTCTATGGATTATCAAACCTTTGTAAGTTATTCAAAACTATAAAATATTTTTAGATTGTGAGAATTTTTTGGAGGGAGATAATAACGTTTTACATGTCTTACTAGTTAACCCATAGCTGGGGGAGAAGAGGTGGATTCATACCTTCCTCAAGGGTATTTGTGCATAAGTGAATATAACAAACCCAATTGGAATTGGAACTTGGTTTTCTGATTAACAATTTCGAGCCATTATTCATTACACGACCCACACATCCAAGTTTACAGCACCTGGTATTCCCAATTAGTTAACCATCTAGGTACTAACCAGGCTCAACATTGCTAAACTTCAGTCATTGTATGGGAACCAGTGTTTCAACATGATATTGCTGTAAGCTTTTAATTAAAATAATCTTGAAACATGTGATTAGATGATGTGAAAAAGCAAACAAAAGTCACAGATTATGTGTGTTGATCTTTTGTCATTCATGCCAGAGGCCAAGGTTATTGACAATTGGAAGACAAAAGATGAAAGCAAACATCTACAGCTGCAGTGATAACACGTGTGGGGCTTTAATGGTTGCTTGATGTATCATATTTTAAGTTTTCCAGTGTGAACAAAAAGTTTTAACCTCTTCTTGCAGTACATAATTGCAATCTGGAATGTGTCATCAAATGCTTTATAACTGAGTAGTACATTTTTGTTTTTTTAAGCATTTCACTCCAAGCAAGGCAGGAGTGCCATTAGCACATAAGGTCTTATGGGGAGTGAAAGTGAGAAAAAAGTGGGTGTAGGGGGATTGAGAAAAGGACAGGGATCAAGGCAACAGAAGATGGCGATAGACATTACATTTAAATTTTTGCAGATTGTAGTTATCAAGTGAGAGTAAGGGAGTTCCAATGTCAGGAAGTGTGAAGAAAAACTGTTGGAGTAGAAGTGGCAGTTATATTTAACTATTTCAACAGTAAATGGGTGGGACCTAGATACCAATCTATTAGCACACTTAAATTCATGTAGTTGGGGCACTTGTCAGAGCAGTAGCCATGAAAATAGAAAAGACAGAGGGAAGCCACATCACCTCTCTGAGAAAGTGTCTGAAGTCAAGAAGCTAATTCACAACTGATTACATTGTAGATCCTTCTTTGGATCTTGTTAAGAACCTTGAGATGCCAAATTCATTAATTATTCACTTCTGAATATAGTCATATTTATGTATATACAAATGTTCCTTTACTTATAGTGAAGTTACAAAAATGACTATTATCCTCAGTTTCTTCACTAATACCTTTTCACTTCTTTTAGCAACATTGGTTCCCATATGATCACTGAAGTTAAGCAACATCAAGCCTGGTCATTACCTAGATGGGTGACCGCTTGGAAATGCAGGTGCTGTAAGTTTGGATTTGTGGGTGGTGTAACGAATAATGAATTGGAATTGTTAATTGGAGAGCTGAGTTACAATTCCTATTGGGTTTGTTATATTTGCTTATGCACAAATACCCTTGGGAAAGGTATGAATCCACTTTTTCTCCCCCAGCTATGGTTTAATTAGTAAGACTTGTATTGCTAAAACCATTATGGAGCTCTCTTTTGGTTTCTTGCTTCCTTGCCAACTATGATTTTCAAAAATTTAAATGAGACATCAATTGCTATCTTCTGTTTCAAGATTTCTGTTTTTTTATTGTTCTTTCTCTTCTCTAAGGTTTTCTCATTTTCTTTCATTCTCAGTAACCCCTTGCATCACATCTTAATAGCATCATTGCTTTGCTTGGGGTGAAATGATTGATATATGTAGCTTAAAATTTACTATCTTTATGGTGGATGCGTGGTCAGTTGATTTTTAGACTGTGTTTTTTCATCCTTTTGTTTTATTCTTCACCCAATATATCAGGTTTGAGAGCCACCCGAGGTAGAGAGTTACTGTTAAATTGGTTATGATGAATAAGATGTAATATGAGTGAATGAAGTGGTGGTAGGATTGATTGATTTATTTTTTATTGTTTATCAACCCTTTACGGGTTATTTAAAGCTGAAACATATTTTGGATTGCAAGAATAATAATTTTTTTGTGAGTGAATATATTTTAATTTTTAATCTTTTTTTTTTATCCCATGACTTGTAGGGTCATAGGGATACCACTTGTACTTTCAGCCACAGTAGAAGTGGTGTTTCTTGGGCAAGATAGCCTGATCGAGCCAAACTCTCTCCAGGCTGGTTTTTGAATTCAGAGTTATCTTCTCCTAGACCGGTTGATACCCAAGGCTATAGAACACAGTCTGTCCTGCTATTTATGTATAGCTGGTTGGTGGGGAAGAAGAGGATTCATACCTTTCCTAATTCTATTAGCACATAAGTGAATGTAATGGATTCAACTGGAATTCGAACTGAATATTGCATTAAAATTATTTTTGAGAACAACAATGATTTTTCCATATACAAGTTCTACTATTTAACCCATAACTGGAGGGTAGAAGGCATGGATTCATACCTTTCCCAAGAATATACAGAAATATCCCTTGATTAATGTGCATTCAATTAATGTGTTTTCATTTAGTGTGCTAAAATTTTTATATGCCAAAATTTGATTAGTGCTTGCATAATACTAGATTAGTGTAGTAAAACATTCTTCAGATTAATAATAGTAATTGAAAACTGATTTTTTTATAATTACCAATTAATTAAAAATTTTCTAAAATTTATAAATGGAAAATGAATAACTATTTTGTTTGGTAAGTATTACGTTATCTAAGTAATTACAGTAGGATTATAAATAGATAAATTCTATATCAGCTGATAATAAAAATACATATTTGAATATTTGTTTCAATTAAAATTTTTTGAATATATTGATTTTTTTTCAAGTTTATTTTGAAGGTCATAAAAGGAATGTTCTGAGTTTTTGTTAAAAAAATGAACAATTTAATTAGATACAGAAATTTACATTTATTGAGAAATAACAAAATATAAAAGATGTATTCATTTACTAAAGAAAGATTATAAATAAAATTTTCAGGTTAAAATACTAATGATTATGATATGTTTGGAAAATTTCCCAAAATATGTATCTATATTTTAATTAAAAAGTACACAAATTAGAAATTAATTGTGAATGAGACTGAAATTTGAGGTACAAATTATATCATTTCGTATAAGTTATATTTGATTAATGCGTTTTTGATTAGTGTGTATACTTTAATGTACACATTATCTGTATTAATTGAGGGAGTCATGTATACATATAAATGAATGTAATGAACTTAAGTGGTATTCAAACTTGGCTGTCTGATTTATTTGCAGTAGGTTGCCATTTCTTTCTGCAGTAGATGAGTTGTTGGCTATAGAAGCAAGTGTGTCCTGCAATTCAACCTATAGCTAGAGGGAAAAGAGATAGATTCATGGTATTTGCATGTAAGTGAATGTAATGAACTTGATTAGTATTCAAATTTGGCTCTCCAATTTTCCATTCTGAGCTGCCATCAATTATTCCAGTTGCACACATTCATGATAAGAAGTGAAGATTATGATGATTGCTAGGATAGATAATGATTGCCATTTGACTTGAATATTGTAATATTAGGAAAGCATCCGCATGAAAGTCTGTTCTATAAATGAGCATTTTTTGGAAAAATCTGAGTTGAGTTTTCTCCTTTTATTTGGAATATGGAGGAAATAAGGGTGATTCAGCTAAAAATGGTAGCTTGCTTTTTTAAAAAAATATTTTCTGCTTTGTTTTCTCTTGCAATGTTTTATTACTGCAATCATGTAGGATATTTTCACTATTGTGATTTCTTGCTTTTCACTCTTGTGAGTTCTTGCTCTACTGCCAGCTTGCTTTTTATATACAGTAATGTTTTCTGTTATAGCTAAAATGCTTTTGAAATATTTTACAATACACTAATAACTTGCATTAAGCATTTTTTAATGTGTTATAGCTTCAGGATATAAGCGATCGTAAATTTAAAAAAAAATTTTCTTACAATAATGTACACCCTGTAAAATGCCCAAGAGCCACTCGTGGTAGAGTAAGAGGTAAGAGGCACAGTTTATGAGGATATGTGGGGGAATATAATGGTTAACTCTAGACTTGAACAAGATAAGATTATAGTGCAGAGCATCCACTTGGGAGTTGGTTCCACAAAGTAACAGTTGGAAGAAGATGTTTGAGTGGAATGTACATCTCACCAGTGGAATGTAATGCGAATGACATGGCAGCTTTTAGTTGTGAAGGTTAGAAATGGTGGAATTAAGGAATGTAGCTTGTCAGCACACTTTCTGGAAATGGCGATAGAGTAGCAAAAGGCTTGCAACATTTTGTCTTTGGGAAATGGGTTTTAGGCATCTCCACATCTCAAATGGGTTATTTTTTGGCCGAGCCTAATGGCTCGGAAATGCCCACATTAAAAAGGCCTTGTGCCACATGACGCCGTCGTGGGGGGACGACTAAATATTGTCCACAGATTTCTTTTCTTTATTATTTGTGAATTGCCATGACTTCTTGGGAAAGATAGTGGAATGGTTTCCTGTTGCCTTCTTTATGGTTTTGAATTCAGGGTAGTCCACTTAGATTTGCTGCCACCCAAAGCTAGAAAGCCCAGTTTACCTTGTTATTTAACCCATAGCTTGGGTGGGTGAAGAGATTTATGCCTTTCCCAAGTACATTTGTGTGAAGTGAATGATTAAGGCTTTGAACATTGCATGCTTAAATAAAAAAAAATTCCTGAATATGTTCTACAAAAATTGAGGTTGATGTTTAATAAACCCATGCATCTTTTATGACATCAAATACAAATGTAAATATTTTAAAGAACAATAAGATTGAATATGTCTGTTTGATATGTAAGACAATCCATTGATAGTTTTCCAATTCTGTATTCAATGTTACAGTATAATGTTCTGAGGATTATTTGAATACATGGAACAACAAAACAACTATTGATTATATAAAAGCATAATATTGGTCCTACTTTCATCTTTTTTCACACTACAGTAAATAATATACAAGAATTGATGGATCATTATATTTAATGCAATGATATTGAGACACTGATAACAGTCACATATTCTTTGAATCTCAACTTTATGAATTAGTCAAGGCCATGACTTAGGGAGATTAGTCCAGTATGCAATACTGTTAGGAAGGGTCTGAAAACCATACCATGAGTTGACCCAAGCCTTGTAGGTGAAATTGGGTAGATAAAACTGTTTGGAAGTGTTTATTTATTGTACTAGCTCAAAAACACAAGTCATCGTGACAGAGGTTTTGAGTGTAGCAGCCTTGTTCAACTGCTGATCATGCCAGATTATGCACTCTCTTTCAGAAACTATTAGGTCTGCATAGTTGCTGTATAAACCACATGTTTACATTATGGGTGTTGAAGAAATAAAAAAAAATGTTCCTGAGCAGGGTCTTGCTACAGGGATTAGCCACACTAGCGGACTAACATACTCGGAAATGAACAGCTGGTTATTATTACTTCTTTATATAGTAAGTGGTTGGCAAACTATTGGAGTGCATTACTGCTGTATTAAGTTGAAGTTTGTTGAATTATAAAAATTAATTAATCAGTCGACTCAGTACTTTCTGAGCGACTGTTCGGTTGAACTCTCTTCCTATGGACGGTAGGAAGCTGAAGGAGGCTACACCAAAGGGCGGAATCTCTTTCGGGGAGGTAGACCGGCTCTGAACCCGTTTATACGGGTTCAATGGACATATTTTTGGGCGAGCCCACGGGCACGGAAAGCCCACGTTAAAAAGGCCTTGTGCCACATAACACCCTCATGGGGGGTGGGTGATTGAATATCATTATAAAAATTAATTCTTTGAAGTTTATAATCTTTTTCAGACGCCAAAAGGAGAAGCATTTTATCTTGCACCTGTTGCAGACCCCAATACGGAGAAAAACAATTGTGAAACTGCAATGATACAAGAATATATCTTCAATTCAAATGAGTAAGTCTCACAAGTAAATATTCTTGATATTTTTGATTATATATCTTAATCTATTTGGAGTGTCTCTCTAGTAGTTTGCAAGTTCATATTGCAGGCCATTACTACTGGGCACTTCAAACTTTTTTTATTTTTGTTATTGTTTTTGACATCTCAACTTCAGTCATTTTCTCATTGCTGTAATGTAACTTTCTTGTGTCTTTTCTATAAATATTTTCATGGTAATTGTTCTAATGAACTTTTCTCTATGGTATCTAGACTTTATGAATTTAAGTGCAGTACTAGATTGACAGCTAGGTCTCATTTTACAGTTGACATGGCAAGATGAAACCATAAGTTCTACGCTAAGTTTGTATTGTTGCACTTCTTGCTTGTGGAACTCTCTTCTGACTTCTTCAGTCAACTTTGATCTTCAAAAATTTAAATCCAATGTTGATCATTATCTTCTGTATTCTTAAGTCTTGTTCTTTTATTGTTCTCTCTTTTTAATAATGTTTATTTTTCTCATATTCTCTAACACTCAGTAATCTCTTGCATCTTAGTGGTGTCCAGTGGCATAGCTAACGTGGGGCGATGGGGGGGGGAGGACCACCCCGGGTGCCAGCACAGGAGGGGTGACACAATGTCACCCCCAACAAAATTTTTCAACTAGGCTAAGGTGCCAAAAATAGTCTGAAAACAGTGGTGGAGACACAGGGTTTTGCAGGCAGGCATATGACCCCCAGAAATAATTTATGACCCCTCCAGTTTTGTCCCCCCGTCAGAAATTTTCTAATAAATTGTCGGGAAATTTGTGAGTAGGAAAGATAGCAATGTTTTCAGCTTTCGTGTGTTTCAGTTGCTACAATCTTGGTTACTAACAAGAGACGTTGTAACATTTTATCGGATGATATGGTGTTTTAACTCTGCATCATTAATAACAACAAAGCGAAATATGAAGCCAAAAGTGCAACAATTTCAGTCTTGCCTGTGTATCAATTCGCTGAGATACAATTTTCCATTGAGTGAGCGATATGCTTTTGAATATATCTACTAGTGTTGGGACGATTAATCGGAATCGAGAATCGGAAAAATCGGAACTTTTTGGGGTATCAGAATCAGAAAAATTTGTGCCTATTTTCCAATTCCAAAAACGATTCTTTTAAATTTTTAACTTAATTTTCCATTATTGGTACTAATGATAAATATTTATTGTTTTTAAATTATCACTAAAACTAAGATCATAATAGCATCAAAATACGATGTAAATTTATTTTACTTGTATAAAGAAAAACAAAAAAACTTTGCATAAATTCTCTAGGTAACCTTTAAAAGAATGCAGTTGATTTACAATGTTCTGAAAAATGCTTAAAAATTAAATAGAACATTTTTGTCTAGAAAAATACTTTTAAACATCATTGATAATTAAATGGTACCCAGAAAATGATGCAACGGAAAATTGGACACTGGAAAATTAGCAGCAGAAAATTAGGTCAACCATGAGCCAGTCGAGACTGTTGGATCTGGCTGTGCTGTCCATTGAAAATGAGCTTACAAGACAAACAGATTTTGACGATGTCACTGACCAGTTTGCCACAATGAAAACAAGAAAACATTAATTCTAAGATCATAGTATCGAATGTCATTCTTTTGTGTATTGCCGTATTTAGTTGTTCTGAAAGTGAACAGTTGCATTTTAAAAATCTTTTGATTTGAACTGATTATTTTGTGGTATTAGATTTTGTCTTGGATCATACATGTAAACAGTAATGTACCGGTCAGTAAAGTAGAGGTAGAGCATGTATGAAAATTTAGCTACAGCTAGCCATTCAGCATAGGGTGAATCGGGGTCATTGGGGTGACATTTGAGTGGACCGCCCCGGGTGACGTTTACTCTAGCTACGCCACTGGTGGTGTCTTTATTGCCTTGCTTCGGGTAACATGATTAAAAAAAAATGTATATACAGTGGGTTGTGCCAAAACATTTTTTTTGGCAAAGTCCATCTTGCACATTTACAAGTCTCCCATTCATCTGTACATTGGTCTGGTGCTCCTGCTATTCATCTTGAGGTTCTTGATAAAATCCAAAGAAGGATCTGCAATGTAATTGATCCTGACTTGATATCTCTTTCTCACTGCCTTTTCTACAAATATTTTCATGGCTTCTGCTCTGATAAGCTTTTTTCCTTGGTGCCCTGACTACATGACTTTAAGTGTGCTACTAGATTGGCATCTAGGTCCCACCCTTTTACTGTTGAAATAGTTAAATGCAACCACCACTTCTACTCCAACAGTTTCTTTTCTTGCACTTCCCACCTGTGGAACTCCCTTCTATTTACATGCTTCCCTGATAACTACAACCTTCAAAATTTAAATGTAACATCAGTTGCCATCTTCTGTCTTCTTGAATCTCATTCCTCCCTATACTCAGGCTTTTTTTTCATTTTCACTCTGTGTAACCCCCTGTGTACTAGTGGCATTCCTGCCTTGCTTAGGGTGAAATGATTAAAACAATAATATATATATATATATATATATATATAATGATATCAAATTCATAATCATTATCATGTGTTATGCAATCTGCTTCTTGTTAATTTCCATTTTGTCCAGGAGATAAAAGAAAATCTTAAACCCAAAGTTGTCGGTATTACTTCTAGTGCACAGATGCAAATGAAGTAGACAGGAAATTTATGGTTCTGCAATGATATATAAAAACTAAGCAATAGAAGCTGAATTGTCTCTCCTCTTTGGAATATGCTGGGCTGGTAAGAGGGGACAGAATTTGAGAAATATTTAATCCCAACTGAAATACCTAGAAACTCTCAGTCTGATATCAATATAATGTTTACTGTTTACTAATTACAAAAAATTTAGTTGAATGTTTTGACATTTTCAAAAAAAATTAATTCAGTACATATATGAAAAATATATATGTAAAATATATTTATATACAGAACAAGATAGTTCAAAAAAGGAGAGAGATAGGTATATTATGTAATTAACTGTAATGTGTGTATGTGTAATGTACCATGTGGTTTGATGGAGACTAAAAAGTCAGTTTGCTTCGGGACTACATCTTCTCAGAGTGGAAATATGACATATCCTTGAATCTTGTTCTTTTATTGTCTTCTCCGTTTCTTTCATTCTCAGTAACCTCTTGCATCTTAGTGGCTTTATTGCCTTGCTTCGGGTGAAATGATTAAAAAACAAACAAAAAATGTCTTGTCACAATGGCATCCTTTAGTTTAGTTAAATAGTTTCCACATCCTAACTTAGTAGGAGTTAATTAAACCAAAGAAGGTATGAAACTTACTAGTTATTAAATCCAGGGAGTCACCCTAAACTTTTTGTCTATAGTGTATAATATGTAATATATAATAATATATGAGTTTATATATAATAACAATGTTTAAGAAAGGGTGCTGAAAATTCTTGTCTTGATCAAAGAGCAGTTCCAAAAAGAATTCTGATGCCTGTAAAATCCATCAAAGATATGAATATTATTAGTCTGAATAACTTGTGGAATAATGACTATCAGTTTTCTTAAAATTTCAGAAAACCCAAAATTACAGTTCATATGCTGCCACACGTGTGTAGAATACAAATATTTTGTACTGGTGTTTTACAAATGTCCGAAAATAAAATTATCAAGAGATTAATCATTCAAAAGTTCAGTGTCCATCATCAGAATAGATGTCAAAATATTTCATTTATTGTTCTAAGATGGGGTGCTGAAAAATCTCTGCTTGATGGATTTTTAAAAATATTCTGATTTTGTCAGATTTTGGGAAGTAATTCAGTTTGAAAACTTTTCAGCAACCCTTCATAATACAATATAAAATATACACTAGGGCAGCTAGCTAGCTAGCTGTTGCAGACGCCTGCTCAGGCACATTTGTATTTGTTCAACACCCACAAATCCTACCTGTGGCTTATACTGCAACTATGCTGAGCAGACCCTAGTTTCAGTTTCTGGGAGAATGTGTGTTATCTAGCATGACCAACAGTCTGAAAAAGACCAGCATGCGCAAACTCTTGGTCAGAAAGCCATTCGGCCATGTATCAATAATAATAATGATACACAATTTAATCCCTTTTTTGGTAACTGGCAATGCTATAAAAACAAAAATGTTCAAAAAGTACCTAACCTCTAATACCATGATCAATAGTCAGATCAGACTGAAAATGGAATATTGCTGCCATATCTGGGCTAGAGGTCCTCAATCCTCATTTTACAGCTATGATAGAGTTCAAAAACACTTATGTAACCTTATTTTTCCATCTCAAAGACCCTTTGCCACAAAATTGCACTGTGAAAGTAATTACATTTTACCTGAAAGTATATAAAAATAAATGTAAATTTATTTAAATATTAGTGCGTTGGGAAAGTAATTATGTTTTAAGGATATAAAAACAAATGTAAGTTAAATCTATTTAAATATTATTTACCAATAACTATAATTACTGCCATTTTTAACAACTGCATTTCAGAAAAGGCAAATTTATGATTCCACATTCAAAGAGTTTTTCTTAAAAAGAAAGTTTGAAAGACTGTTTCAAGGTTACCTGGTGTTGCATGGAAGATCTCTGAATAATAGTTTATTATTGACAATTTATTAATATTTTTCAGCCATCTTATGGAAAATAATTTTTTATTCAATCTTTAAAAAATAAACTTTATTGTTTTTTTTGGTTTGTTACTAAATTTACGAAAATACCACACTACCAATACATACTTTTCTTAGGGGCTGAGCATCCCCGTATTCAAAAGACACTTTATTTTTTGAATTAAATACTAACATAAATACTATGTTAATGTTGTTTTCAAACAAATCAAATTGATTTATCTAAGTTCATTAACTGTTTGTCAAATTATTATTAATAAAAAATAAACTTAAATTAAGATACAGTGTAACCTGGATATAAGAGAGTTGTCGGGACCGGAGAAGAAGTCTCTTATATCCGGGTTTCTCTTATATCCGGGTGTCTTATATAATTGTTACACTGTATATTTAAACATTTAATTTAATCATTTTCAAGCAAAATCTATAGCAAGCCAGCCTTCTTCAAAAAATAATTATTTACTTTTGGAGGGGAATTTAGATTTTTTTTAAGTACAGTGTAACCCGGATATAAGAGAAACCCGGATATAAGAGAGTTTTTCTCTGGTCCCAAATTAGAGCCTGTGTTAATGTATATAAAATAGACCAAACCCGGATATAAGAGAAACCCGGATATAAGAGAATTCTTCTCCAGTCCTGACAACTCTCTTATATCCGGGTTACACTGTAAATAAAGTTTTAGTGATTATTTTGTTTTTAAAGAATGTGAAAGAAGCAAACATTTTTCTGTAAATGAATTTAATTACTAACTATTTTGAAAGAGAGTAGAAGTAAGATACATTGAGAATTTAGTTTTGAAAATCAATTATGTTTAAATTTCAAGTTATATTTGTATTTGAAAAGAAAAAACTTTACTTAAATAAAACTTAGGAGAGACAGACATGAGTTACGGTCAACATTAGTCATGTTGATTATTTGTATTTATTATGAATTTAACTATATTTTATTTAAATTAATTTTCAAAAAAATAAGCCTCACTATAGTTTTTTGCTTTAATAACATTTAATTTAAAATTATTTACTTTTTTATGTTAGTTACAAGCCAAAAAAAAACATGAAGTTTATTTTTTTAAAGATTGAATAAAAAGATTATTTTCCATAAGATGGCCAAAAAATCTTAATAAGTCAGTGATATACACACCCACACACTCAAATACAGATAACTGCCCTTTATATATATATACAGATAGATAGACAGATAGATAATAATATCCCTACAACATGAACATAAAACCAAAATGCGTGTATTTAAAGTAAACCTGTTATTAAAAATAGGCAATTAAAAATTTCCTGATTAAAAATATCTATGGGAATTTATTCTGTTGTGTTTGTACAATTTTTGTTTTGAATATTTAATATTCTTCTGTTAAATTTACTTTGTTGTTTTAATATTAATTTTTTTAAAGTTATGCTTTTATTTATTATAGATATGGAAATAAATTCAAGAGAATAGAAATTTAAAAAAAAATATAGTGTTTTTAGAATTAAAAAGTAAAAACAAACAGAATAAAAATTATTCTTGTTTGTTTTTACTTTTGATTCTGAGAATTTTGAATGCATTCTAATGCAATCATTATGTATTTTTAATTTTAATTTTAAAATATCATATGACGATAATTTTTTAAAATGGTGCGTTAGGTGATACTGAGTTTGTATATATATTTAATTTGTCATTAATTATTGTAGCTTTTTGGTTTTAGCTGGACACACACATACACACATACAGACAACTGCTCTTTATATATGTATAGATAAGATATAATAATAGGATTTTATATATAATGACAATGTTTATGAGAGCATGCTGAAAAATTCTTGGCTTGATCAAGGAGCACTTCCAAAAAAATTCTGATGTTTCAAAATATATTGATAAAACCATTAAGGATAGGAATATTTGTCTGAATAACTTGTAAAAAAAATGACAGTTTCCTTAGAATTTCAGCAGAAAATCTAAAATTATAAAAAAATTACAGCTCATATCCAGCCACACACATATGGAATATATATATATATATATATGTTATGTTCAAAAATAAAATTAGCAAGAGATAGGCTTCATGGCTTATCGACAGATTAAATATCAAAATATTAAAAAAAATACAAACATATTTTCTTTTTTAAGAAAATACACATTACTTGCTTGTATGTCTTTTTGAGTAACTTTCATCTTTGATTATGGATTTTTCCAGAGCTATTTTTCTTGGCTTCCTTCTGATGGCCTTGTTATTTTCTTTTCTTTCACATGTTTTTAAATATTTTATTTGCTTTTTCTTTATATTAGGAGGTGATCCAATAAATGAAATGGATCGGGTGCTTTCTGTTCTGTTGCCATGACAATTGTTGTAACTTGTTTATTTCTGTAATCCCCATCCAACTACATGTTCCCCGTTGTCACAATTCTTGTCAACCACATGACATGGATTCCATTTGTTTAGACTGCCTGCTGCTGAAGAGAAAATCAATGTAATTCAACAAGAACACGACCATTTAAGAAGAAGCAGACTTGTAGAAAAGGAAATTAGTAAAGGAGAAGATGCCTTAAAAGATAATGGTAAATTATTATTTATTAAGATGCCTTAAAAGATAATAAATAGTAATAAATAGCATGGTTCATTTTCTTTCTTTTTATAAAGCCGTCTTATGAATGAATGATCCCAAAACATTGAAATATCTCATATATAATATAGCTAATAGGAAACGTTAATCTTAAATATCTTTTCTCTTTTAAAACAATATATTCAGAGGAGGTGCATATGGTGCAATGGATAGTGGTTTGGAATCAGAAATCAGAGGGCTGAGTTCAAATTCCAGTTGAGTTTGTTATATTCACTTATGTGCAAATACTCTTGAGAAGGGTATGAAAATCCATCTCTTCTCTCCCCACCCCAGCTATTGGTTATATAGCAGGACTTGTATCCTGAAAAATCTTTGTTATCTCTCAAAAATTGATAATGCAATTGTATCAGGTCATGCATAGGCCTGCTACTGATAACATGTAACCCAGTACAACCTGACACATGGATGGGTGGTTGGCATACCAACTAACTCTGCCACTAGCTCTTCTTTTTTTTTATTTATTGATTCATTTTCTATAGCTTATCAATCCTTTGTCGGTTATTTAAAGCCAGAAAATATATTTTAGATTGTAAGAAATTTTTTTGAGATAATAATGATTTAGTGATACAAGTCTTACTAATTAATGCATAGCTAGGGAGAGAAAAGCTGGATTTATACCTTTCCTAAAGGTATTTGCCATAGTAGTGCTATTCTTTACTGTGAATTCTGCAGTTGTTTTAATATAGTCATATAAAGCATGTTCTAGATTTAGTTAAAATATTGATGGATTGATTTGTTTTATAGGGCTTATCAACTGTTTGCAAGTCATTCAAAACCAGAAAATATTTTTAGATTGTAAGAAATTTTGTAGTGGGGAGGGAGATAATAATGGTTTATAAGTCTTACTAATTAACCCATACCTGGAAGGGAAAATACATGGCTTCATACCTTTTCCAAGAGTATTTGTGTGTAAGTGAATATAACAAACCCAACTAGAATTGTAACTCTAATTAACAATTCTGAGCCATTATCAATTACACCATCTTCACATCCAAGCTTACAGCATATGGTATTCTGAAGCAGTCACCCATCTAGGTGCTGACCAGGATTGACATTGCTTAACTTTGGTGATTGTACAGGAACCAGTGTTTCAATGTGATGTTGTCATAAGCCCACTAGCTTTTCTGATGGTGAGGAAGGTGGCAAATTATGCCACAAGACAAATTTCAAGACCTGTCATAGGGTGGATGAGTTTCATATATAAATGGTGTATATATATATATATATATATATATATATATATATATATATATATATATAAGGTTTGATAATGATACCTTGCCAAAGGACCTAAAATGCTTCTTTAGAAGAATATGGCTAAAAGCCCACCACAAGGGCAATAACCACACACCTTCCATACTAGTATCACTAAAAGAGAAGAACTCTACATTCACCTGACAAAACATGGACATTGCTATACAGACATTTGAAATGACAGTAACAAATGACAAAGAAAACAACAATATGTAAGCTGACACATAGCAATATCACTGAAGGGAAACGGGCAGCCCTAGACATGCTAACACATAGAGGTGAACTGATCATTTCACAGGCTGACAAAGGTGGTGCCACAGTGATCTGGGACATCAAAGAATACATGAAAGAGGCCAACAACCAGCTAGCTGGCAAAAACACCTACAAAAGCCTATCCACAGACCTGCTCCCTGAATACCAAAAAAACTTAATAAGCTCGCTAAGCATGACACTTCAAAATAAACTAATTGACAAGGGAACATGAACAACACTTACACCCACAAACATAACAGCTGGCTGCTTCTATCTCCTTCATAAAATATACAAAAATAACAACCCAGGAAAGCCTGTCATTCTATCATTTAACTGTCACGCAACTAAAATATCCAAATACGAAGATCATTACATACAACCCCTAGCTAAGTGTTGACTTCAATGTTCACTTTTATATTTACACATGCTCTATCTCTGATATTGAGCACTTTATCCCATAAGTATAGCACACTTTAAGAGTACATTTCTTCATATATATATATATATATATATATATATATATATATTCAGAAGAATGAATGTTAAAAAATGTATAAGATTTTGTATGGTACACATGTTGGTTTTCAAGTCCAGATAAAAATCAGGATTTTCCTCTGGTGTCTACTGATTTTTTAGACTTTTTACACTCATCTATACTTCACTTGGTTCTGTGCTAGATGAAATTGAATTTTGACATGTATGAAAATGTTTTTGTATGAAAATGTCTTATCAATGTCTTAAAATCTACACATTTTGAATCAAGATGAATATTCTAAAAATATTGTAATTGATATAAAATTAATACTTAAGAAATTTATTCAATACATTAGCATGTTTATCAGTGTAAAAACAAATATCTTTTTTATACTTTTTATTATTTTAAAACCTGAATTTAATTTTTAAATTTTATCAGTGAAAAGCACAAATGCTTTAATCTTGAATCTTATTTTCTTCCTAAAGATTTGTGTGATTCTCTTGCAGAAATAAAGGCTCCAGAAAAATATCAGGTTAATTTTGGTGGCAGAAAGGATATTCTATCACTTGATAACAATTTAATTGATGAAGATGAACTGAAAACAGTGTAAGTAAAAGCAAATATATTTGTTATTTTTCTCAAAAAACGCAGCCAATGTAGATTTGATGAGAAAACTTGTTTTTGTCTTTTTCATTTGAGAAATAATAGACAAAACAGACAAACCTCTTGTCTTTCCTTACTTAAAAAAAAATAATAGAAATTGTATTTATTCGGAAAAAAAAAATTGAAAAACAAAAGAAATTGATGAAAGAAAATCAATGAAAATATTTGTAATTATAAAAATCAGTTCAGTCCCTTGACTATGATTATCAGTGAGGACTCAAGGGCAGAATTTGTCATCCTTTTTTTTGTGTTCATCTATCTTTTTTTCCTTTTTTTTTATCATTTCACCCACAGCAAAGCAATAAAGCCCCTGAGATGCAAGGAGTTATTGAGTGTTAGAGAATAATAATAAAAAAAAAAACTATTAAGGAGAGAAAATATTAAAAGAATAAGAATTAAGAAGACAGTAGATAATGATTGATATTGCATTTAAATTTTTAAAGATCAAATTTGATTGGGAAACAAGAAGCTGGGAGAGAGTTATACAAGCAAGAAGTGCGATAGAAAAAACTCTTAGCATAGAATTTATGGTTACATCTAGCCATTTCAACAGTAAAAAAATATGTGACCCTGTCATCAATGTAGTACTACACTTAAATTCATAAATTCTTTGTACCAAAGAGGAAATTTCATCAGAACAACCATGAAAGCATTTATAGAAAAGGCACAAGAAAGCTACATTAAGGCAGTGGGAAAGTGACTGAAGCCAAGATGCCTGATCAAAACCAATAACATTGCAGGCTCTTTTTTGGATTTTATCAAGAATCTCTAAATATAGAGCAGGAGCATCAGACCAGATGTGGGAGCAGAATTCAAAGCAAGGACAATTAGTAGACTTATAAATATGTAAGATAGATTCTGGTAAGAAAAATTGTCTAGCACGACACAGGGAACCAACTTTCTTAGCAGCTGACTTAGCAATTGATCCAATATAAGCTTTCCACTTCATCAGTGGAAAATGTTAGTTCAAGAAGGTGCAATGAATCACTCTCCTGGAGGTTAGCATCTGCCATGCTGGTGGAAGGTAAAAAGGCTTCTCTCATATGATCAAAAGAGAGCAGTTTTGTTTGGAGGTGTTAAAATTAACAAGCCATTCTTTTTCCCAGTTAACAACAGAAAGTAGATTGTTTTTCAGATCAGCTGTCAACTTGACCTTATTGAACCACTCAGACTTACTATTAAGACAGGAATAAATAGTTGTTATCAGCATGGATACTGAGTTGAGCTCTGATGACATAAGAAAGGTCATTGATGAAAATTACTAACAATATGAGTCCAAGGATAGAGACCTGGAGGACTCCTTCATTAATGCAAAAAGACCTAGAAGAGTGTCCATTCAAGACAACTTTCATTTCCCAATTGGATAAGACAGACTGAGTCAGTCCAAAAATTTGTCCAGAAATACCATAACTTTTCAACTTGTGAAGAAGACCAATATGCCAAACTCTGTTTAAACTGGTTTATTGAGCAATTATATTAAATAACAAAAATTATATTTATACTTATACCCAGCTTTGTTTAAATCTCAACCAAATTGAGAAAGTGTAAAGAAATGTAATATTTTCTAGTAAAGCTGAATACCTGAACAAAAATATTCAAATAAATAAAAATTAAAAAAATAATTTAAAAATTAAATTATTTTTTAAAAGTCATTCTAACTTAAATTAATCATCTCTTAAATTTTTATATGAAAATGTAAGAAATTACTTGTTTCATAACAAGTACATGAAAGTGTGTATGTGCATGATTTTATTCATGTGTGTATGTGTATGAGGGTTGGCTGAAAAGTTCATAGGCTGACTAAATGAGGTTTATTTTACAACACTGTACCTCTTGTGGTCAACACACTTCTTCCATCAGTGTTGCAGTGCTTGGGTCCTATTGATGAAGAAGCATTCATTCTGTTGGTAAAAAAAGTCATCAACAGCAGATATGATGTCATTATCACTGCGGTACCAGTTCCCAACCAAGTATATTTTCATGTTGGGGAACTGATGATAGACAGATGGGGCCAAACCAAGAGAATAAGGAGGATGACCAACCAGTTCAAAGCAACAGTCACGCACAACAGAATTGTCCTGATGAAACCAGACACTTATGTCTTTTCATGTTTGTGTGTGTATATATGCATGTGTCTATTCATATGTGTATATGTTTAATTGTATGTGTGTGTGTGTGTGTGTGTGTGTGTGTGTGCATCTCTGTGTGTGTGTTTTTAATCAGCAAAGAGTATGAATTCTGGTTGATGGTATTTATATTCATTTTGGACTAATGTTCATGGGAAAGACATAAGTCAGCTTCTTTCTGTACTCTGTTTCATCGTTAGATATTTAAAGAATTATTTTATTACTGGCATGCCACAATGGTTGACAAAGAATTAACTTTTTTTTTTCTCCAGGAATTAGCTGTAAAATCCAATGTGTTTGTGATTTTGATTTTTATAATTTGATTAAAAAAAATCCTGAAGTATACAAAAATAATAGCAACAATAAAAAAATAACCAATATTTATTTTTAAAAAAGAAAGTTTATTCAAAATATTTTGGTGAACATTTTTTTAATTACATGTTCTTTCAGGATGTAGTTGATCATATGTCGCCACAGATTCTTTATTATCTGTCATGATTGTTCTTGGAAAAGATAAGAGTCGTTTCCTGTTTTCTCCACATTTTGAATTCAGAGTAGTCCTTTTCTTAGACTGGCTGCCATCTAAAACTATAGAGCTCAGTTTATCCTAACATTTAAACTTTAGCTGGATGGAGAAGAGATAGATTCATGCCTTTCCCAAGGACATTAGTGTGAGGGTGAACATAAGAGGTTAGGTGGGGATTTGAACTTGGCTTGGAAATTTTACTTTCTGCACCAATAACCATTACATTACCCACCTGCTGGCAAACATTAAAATTGTTGAAACATTGTGCATGTGTTTGTGAAAATTTTTTTTTTCACTTTTGTCATCATAAAAGATTTTCTAACATTTTTTCCCATCTTTAGATTTTTTTTTTTTAAATATGCTTCTTCTTATGGCTTGTGGTTAGGAATTTATCCCCAAAATGTCAGTTGATTTTATGAAGAAGTTAAATGAAGATGAAACAGAAAAAAATGTCAAACTAGCAGCATTTTTTTGTTGTTGTTGTGTAAGGTGGGTTAGTACATTACAAAACTCATCTGGTAGTGAGAGCCACTTGGGTGCTCACCATCCAACCTAAGATAATTTGGGAAAATTATGTGGGCAATAATTATCGTAGACATTCCAAAAAGAATAACTAAAATATTTAAAATTTTCTTCAAGCAAACCAATATATCTTTTCACTTCTTGTCCCAGGCTGTATACTTTTATTTATGTATCTTATAATTCTGTAGTAATTTATCTCAGAACCTGCTTGGTGGCTTAAGGTGTAGTGAATTTTTCTCCTTCCAGAACTAAAAATTAGTGCTCAAACCTGTTAAAAACCATGGTTTTTAAAGCAGAACTTTTAAGAAAAGTAAACTCTTTCCATTCAGAATATTCACACTAAACAATCTTCTCTCCATTTACTGTAATTACTTTCTTATAATTGTTATAATTATATTATTATTAAAATTCTAGAACAAATATTAATTTTGTACGCATGCGAATAAACACATGAGAATAAATCAATAAATCTGCAGCCTGAAGGTTTTTGGATGAATTTTGATCTGAAATTATCATGGTATAATGTTTGATCCATGTGATAAATAGAGAATTGTTAAATTAAGTACATTGACAAAGAAAGAGATTATGTTGAAAAATATTTGCTTTGTAAAAATGAAGGCAAGAGGGACATAGGGAAACAAGTAATTTACCTAACAAGCTAAATGGATATCAAAGGATAGGAAGTGGTGGAGAGCCAAAATCAATCTACCTAAGAAGCTTGTGAAAATGGATGACACTTGAAAGTGAAGGAAAGATAGTAAAAAAAAACATACATTGATAAGTGGTAAAAAGGAAGTGGTGGAGAGACACATTTAACCTACTTAACAAGCTTGTGTAAATGAATGTCAGTCTAGAGTGTGGGAAGGATAATAAAAAAACAAAAAATGATAAGAGCTATAAAGGGTAGGAAGTGGTGGAGAGCCAAGATTAGCCTGCCTAACAAGCTTGTGACTATGCATGTCTGTTCAGGATGTGAAAAGATAGTAAAAAACAAACATTGATAAGAGCTACAAAGGTCAGGAATTGGTGGTGAGCCACGATCAACCTACCCACACTTAACAAATATATATGGCTCCACATGTTACATTTTAGGCTAATTTTTAACAGGCCTATTTGGTTTGTATCCAGTTTATGTCTTCTTTTTTTTTATCTGAAACATGTTAAAACTGTCCCAAAATACACAAATGGGTTGTTTTTTCTCTTTTTAAACAGAAAAATAATAATAAAAGATTTTAAACAAACAAAAAAGTTAAAGAATTAAACAAATACAAAACAAATAAAAGTAAAATAAACTTACCAACAGTTTCTCTATAAATCAATTTTATTTGACCTTTGCTTTTTTTTTAAAACATTCTACAATATTTTTTGAACTTCATCTGATGAAAACTTTCGTTTGTTGTAAAATATGTTATACTCCATTGCAATTAGGTCTCTATTAGAGTGTATAAACCACTCTGGTAACTGTCAAGGGTTCCATCATACTGGAGCTGGACATGAAGGTTTTGGTGAATGTGAATGCATTCTTTTATAGATGGAAAATGTGTTTCAGGGTCAAAGACTAGTCTATAAATTAGAATATAATCTTCCTGTTTTCAATTTCAAAACTGTTAGGACAACACTTTGCTTCTTTCAATTGAGTAAAATCCTTTATTGTATCAGTTGTTGTTTTGGAGGCTTTCTGAATTCTCATGTATTTAGCAAAAGATACGGCTTTCTTATTTTTTCTATATGTAGTGTAGTTATTGGATGTAAATCTCAATTCAGTTTGT